ACTGATCATGTCAATTGGGTAGAAGTCAGTGCCAGAAGTCATGGTGAAGCCGAAGATTAGAGGTCGATATGAGGTCAAGGGCTAGGGGTCGTCAGTCCACTAGCAAGGATGGGTCAGCCCAGGGGCAGGGTTAAGGATCTGTGTCTCTGGGAAAAGTAAGGGTCAGGCTGGGGCCAGAGTTCAGCCTGTGCTTGTAGTCAGGAAATGAAGTTACTTTCTGTGTAAATCAAACTGCCCCACCCAACGATTCTTAAACCCAAGCAGTGGTAGTCTGAAATTGCCAAGCCTCTGGGACAGCGTCTTCCTCACCCAATCCCAGCCACGGACTCTGCCCAGACATACAGCTTTGGGAGTTGAAATTGTCCTGAGCCCCATGTCCATCATTCTCCTTAAATCTCTCTCAGTGAGTGCGCATGAAGGGAGGGGAGGGGGGCATGTCCTGAAGACAGATGGTGCTGCCACCCCCTCCACCTCCACCTCTCAAGGAATCAGCGGGATCCTCCTTTTAAAAAAAAATGTTTTTTATTGATTTCATAGAGGAAAGGAGAGGGGGAGAGAGAGAGAAACATCAATGATGATGATCAGCTGCCTCCTGCGTGCCCACACTGGGGGATCCAGCCCACAATCCAGGCATGTGCCCTGACTGAGAATTGAACCGGGACCTCCTGGTTCATAGGTCAACGCTCAACCACTGAGCCATGCCAGCTGGCAGAACACAAATTGATTCCGGTCTTCCCTCCCTCCCTAAAGATTGAAGAATGACTACAATAAACTCTCAATTAAACCAAAATCTTCAAAGAAGAGAAATTCAGAATCCACATCCTAAAGGGAAAGAATACTACTCACATCTGTCCAACTCCCTGCCTTTTGTCAACCACCTATTTAAAAAACAAAACAAAACAAAACAAAACATTTTTATTGATTTCAGAGAGGAAGGGAGAGGGAGAGAGAGATAGAAACATCAATGAGAATCATTGATTGGCTGCCTCCTGCACGTTCCCCACTGGGGATTAAACCACCGTTGACTGGAATTGAAAACGGGCTGAAACTGGTTTGGCTCAGTGGATAGAGCACCGGCTTGCCGACTGAAAGGTCCCAGATTCAATTCCGGAAAAGGGCATGTACCTTGGTTGCGGTCACATCCCCAAGTAGGGGTGTACAGGAGGCATTTGATTGATGATTCTCTCTCATTGATGTTTCTAACTCTCTATCCCTCTCTCTTCCTCTCTGTAAAAAAATCAATAATATATATATAATTTTTTAAAGGAAAACAGGACCCTTCAGTCCCCAGGCCAACACTCTATCCACTAATCCAAACCGGACAGAGCTCACCCACCTTGTTTTTACCTGAACTTGACGGTTACAAGTCCTCTATGTGACCCATTTTGCAGTAAAGTCACCAGGGCACAGAGAGGCAACCAGGATACACTCCTCCCAGGTGCCATAATAGGTCCTTGCCGGCCCTGAGAGCCCAGTGTAAGGCACTCAGTGAATCACACACTCAGAAATGAGAGGTTTCTGGGCCCACTTCAGACAGCTGGGGAGATTATAGGCTTACAGTGACGACTCCTGACTCTTTTCCTGGTGGTTCTAGATTATTTCTCCTCCAGATACCATAGCCTTGGTCCAGAAAATCCATTCATTCATTCAACAAAGTGTTTCTCCGGCACTTAGCTCAGAACCTGGCACAAAGAAATGCTCAATAAGTTTTTGCTGAAGAATTGAAACAATGTACAAATAGGGCTGCCAGCTTCTCCTTTGTGGCCTACATCCATTGTGTGCTGGTAAATGTTTTACAGTCAACACGACAAAAGGGAGAAAACCCTGATTGTAGGTTTGTGTTTTTTTTTAATATATTTTATTGATTTTGTACAGAGAGGAAAGGAGAGAGATAGAGAGTTAGAAACATCGATGAGAGAGAGTCATCGATCAGCTGCCTCTTGCACACCCCCTACTGGGGATTTGCCCGCCACCAAGGTACATGCCCTTGACCAGAATCGAACCCGGGACCCTTCAGTCCCCAAGCCGACGCTCTATCCATTGAGCCAAACCGGTCTCGGCTGATTGTAGTTTTTGCCAATTTCTGTGGTATAACTGCTGCCACCATGGCCGATTTCAAGCTACCAATGTGATGTCAATGAATGTGGAATTGGGAAGAGATGTAGAGAACCTGCTTTTGCCAGCCGGTGGGAATCAGCTCCAGCATGCCACTCCATCACCTTGAACTGGGCTTCTATCTCTGGCTCTCAAAGCCTGTACCCACCTTGTCTATTTGCTTTCCTTTTCTCGGCATCTCCCAGCTGCTCTATGAACACCCATGACCTGCCCCTGTCTTTCCCCCTGATTCTGATTCCTGCATATCCAACTTTGCACCTCCAATGAGAGCAGGATTGAGTGTATCTGGAAATCTCCATGGTGTGGCCACGTGGGAGTACCCTGGACATTTCTGGATGTCTATGCATGACGGGGCTGAGTTCTGTGAACTGTGCATTAGCCAGGATGCATCTGTGTATGTGGGCGGGGGGAGGGGAGGGGTATGACAGTGCCCACCTGTGTCTGTTGGTGTTCTATTGGCAAAACTTCCTGGCTACAGAGAGGGAGTGGGCTCTGGGCAGCTCCCCTTAAGCGTTATGCTCCTCCGGATACTGCGCATTCATCAGCTCCTGATCTCAGCCATCTTCCTGGAAGTGCGAGCTCCATTAGCCTACCCTCTGCTCTCTCCTCACCTAAGCCTACCTGACTCCCACTCCTCCTCCTCCTTCCACCAAAATGCAGCCCTGGGCCATTCAAACAGGTGTTTCCGGTCTCATCTAACAACTGAGATGCCATGAAACCACAGCAGCATCTGGGTCTCCTGGGCCGGCCCACCTTCCTGGAGTGAAGGGTCCTTTCCCTTCCCTTCCCCCACTTTGCTTTCTGCCAGTGACCCCCAGACACCCATCTCCACCTCAGCTTCTCCCTGACTTCTAGATCACATATCCCCTGGCCCCTTGGTCTGTTCCCTCAGCTGTTCCCGAACTCCACCCAGAGCACTGCCCCTTGCGCCCTGCGAGCCTGTGTCTGTGGGGAGGGGAGGGGTCAGGGGAGCTTGCCCTTCTCCACTGTTCTCCATCTGACCACCCGTCTGCCAGTTTGAATCAGATACTGTCATCCATGACAACTTCTTCTTAATCCCCATATCTAACCCTGCCATCCTCCATCTGCCCTGTTGGCTTTAACCTATAACTTCATTGTATCCACTTCTGTCTCAAGAAGCATCATCAGTCTCCTGGAGCCCTGGTTGTGCTTCTGCTTCCATACTGTCCCACTGCAGTCCACACCCCATACAGCCCGAGGAACTTTTTAAAAAATATATTTTGTTGATTTTTTTTTTACAGAAAGGAAGAGAGAGGGATCGATAGCTAGAAACATAGATGAGAGAGAATCATTGATCAGCTGCCTCCTGCACACCTCCTACTGGGGATGTGCCTGCAACCAAGGTACATGCCCTTGACTGGAATCGAACCTGGGACCTTTCAGTCTGCAGGCCAATGCTCTATCCACTGAGCCAAACCGGTTTCGGCAAGAGGAACTTTTAAAAACGCAAATCCAGTCATGCCCCCACCTCCTCCAATCGGCCGCTTCAAAATTTTCAAGATTGCCCCACTGTGTAGCTCAGTGGTTGAGCATCAACCTATGAACCAGGAGGTCATGATTGAGCCCCGGTTGGGGCATATGTCTAGGTTGTGAGCACAATCCCCAGTGCAGGACGTGCAGGAGGCTGCCAATCAATTATTCTCTCTCATCATTGATGTCTCTATCTCTCTCTCCCTCTCCTTTTCTCTGAAATCAATAATATATATATATATATATATATATATATATATATATATATTTTTTTTTTTTTTTTCCAAGATTTGCTGTTGCCCTTCATGTGAAACCAAATCTAAAATAGGGTCCACGAGCCGAAACCGGTTCAGTGGATAGAGCGTCAGTCTGTGGACTGAAAGGTCCCAGGTTCGATTCCGGTCAAGGGCATGTACATTGATTGCGGGCACATCCCCAGTAGGGGGGGTGCAGGAGGCAGCTGGTCGGTATTTCTCTCTCATTGATGTTTCTGGCTCTCTATCTCTCTCCCTTCCTCTCTGTAAAAAGTCAATAAAATATATTATAAATAAATAAATAAATAAATAAATAAATAAATAAATAAATAAATAAATTAGGGTCCACGAGGGCCTGCCTGCAGGGCCGGGCCAAGCCAGCCCCTCTCTCCATCCTTACTGTGCTCTCCTCTCTGCTTGTAACCAGCTGTGACCTTGGCTGCATCATTTGTAATCTCAAATCCACATGGGTGTTTATCTGATTATAATCAGTTCCCTGCCGAGCTGTGGGCCCCTGGGGCAGAGACAGTGTCTCTCTGGGTCTGTCTCTGATGTCCCCCAGCACCTGGCACAAAGTGAGCACCAAAAACATGTATTTTCATCCTGATTCCAACAAAGCAACTGTTAAAAAAGACCTTGAGAAAAGCTGGGACTGTGGACAGAGCATTAGATGAGATTAAGGAATTGATTTTGTTACACATGGTAATGGTGCTGTGGCGATGTTTTTAACAGTCTATCTGTTGGAGAGACATATTGAAGAATTTATAGGTGAAACAACATGACATCTGGTATTTGCTTCAAAAGACTCCAGCCAGCCGAAACCGGTTTGGCTCAGTGGATAGAGCGTCGGCTTGGGGACTGGAGGACCCGGGTTCGATTCCGGTCAAGGGCATGTACCTTGGTTCCGGTGGGGGATGTGCGAGAGGCAGCTGGTCGATGACTCTCTCTCATCGATGTTTCTAACTCTCTATCTCTCTCCCTTCCTCTCTGTACAAAATCAATAAAATATATTTTTTTTAAAAAAAAGACTCCAGCCAAAAGCAAATAAATAAAACAAGTAATCATTTAATGAGGGAACAAAGGAACAAATAAATGTCATTTTCATGTCTGTTCCTGTTCACAGCCTCAGGGCCTGCAAAGATGCTGGCTGTCCCGGAGATGGGCGTGCAGGGGCTGTACATCGGTAAGAATCCCTCCCCTTTGCCCCCACCCACCCTCTACTTGCCCTTGTCTGGATAGGGGTACCTCTTTCAGGAGAAGTTCCTGAGAGTGTGTGTGTGTGCAGCTAGGGTTAGTGCACACAGGGCTGTGTATGTAAGTGTGTGTGTGCTTGTGCACACTTCACTCCTGTGTGCACGCATGACATATATGTTCATGGGACCCTGTGCGTGTGTGTGTGTGTGTGTGTGTGTGTGCACGTGCAGAGTAGTTCTGTGTGCAAAGGACTCTATATGCATGTGCATGTTTTGTGTGTGTACAGGCCCTGGTTGTGTGTGTGTTTGTCTGTCTGTCTATCTGTTTGCTGTGGGCAGATCTCTGTGCACTTGTATGAGACTGTGTACTATATCTGCAAGTAAGTCCATGTGCACAGAATTGTGTGTGTGTGTGTGTGTGTGTGTGTGTGTGTGTGTGTAGGGGCCGGAGGCCAGGAGGCAGGAGGGACACTCCTCAGGAAGTCCACTCACAAAGACCTGGTGGGCTGGGCCTTCCTTCCTGCCTCCCTTCCCAGGCTCAGGCCACACAGCGCCTTGGCCCTTCAAGCTGGAGCTGGCGGCAGGGCCTAAGCCCATGCTGGTCACCTGAGGAAAGGGAGCCCTGAGGCTGTGACCAAAGTGTCCCTGCCTCTCCAGCACCCCAAGACAGACTCCAGCCCTGTCCAGGCACGTTCTAGAGTCCTCCTCCCTTCCTGCCCCTCACACATGTTCCCAGGGTACCCAACGCAGGAAGGGCTGGGAGCTGCCAGGGCAGCCGCTGAGGGAGCACAGGCCCTGAGCCCTGGCTCAGCCTGAAGCCAGTTTGCTTTGTCCATGGCTCTTTTTTTAATTTCAAATATATTTTACTGATTTTTTACAGAGAGGAAGAGAGAGGGATAGAGAGTTAGAAACATCGATGAGAAAGAAACATCGATCAGCTGCCTCCTGCACACCTCCCATTGGGGATGTGCCCACAACCAAGGTACACATTCGATTCCCTTGACTGGAATCGAACGTGGGACCGTTCAGTCCGCAGGCTGATGCTCTATCCACTGAGCCAAACTGGTTTCAGCTGTCTATGGCTCTTTATGCCAGACTCCATCATCCCCTCATCCCCATGCTGGAATCTCAGGGCAGCCCCAGTCCTCCTCACGGGAACCCTAGGAAAGCCGAGTGGTAGAGACAGGCCACCAGCCCACACCTGGGGGGGTGTCTAGCAGACAGACCCCTGAGTTGCCTGAGCCTCCAAGCCAGGCTTTGGGCTGCCTTCTGGGGCTGTGTTGCTTCCTTCCTTCCTTCCACTGAAGGTCTGGCTCAGTCCTGGGCCTGTGAGAGAGGCTCAATGGGGCCCCATGCCCCCCGATGCTGGCTCCATGCGTATGTGTTGGAGGGCTTGAGGGGTGACTTGGGATTCACTTCCTATTTTTGTGGACACCCCTCAGCTCAGGGCCGGGCTGGAGCGGTGCTGCCCTGCCTTGATGCTCACAGGCAGCCAGCTGGGCCTGTCTTTGGCCCGTGGGGGAATACTAGGGGTACGGTGTATGATGTGGATTTTTTCAATAGATGGAGTTACACATATGTTGATATATATGTGATTTGATATGTATGCTATTTTGTTGTATTGCTTCTTCAGATGACCACTTGTCCGATCGATGGCACACACACTTTCTGAGCAGCACTTCAAAACGTATGAAGAAGTGGAAGATCGGGTCTCTGAGTGGTCTGCCTCAAAACAAGAAAAGCTCTATTGGGCCGGTGTCCACAGATCACCTGAAAGATGGGGAAATGCGTAGCTAGCGATGGACATTACTTTGAAAAAAGCACTTTTGACGTTTCTCTTGAAATTATTGTGTGTGTTTTCTATTACAAAATCCATATTAACCGGTTGATAATGCGGATTGACTATTGACAGGTTAATAATGTGGATTAGCTGTTAACCGGCTAAAAATTCAGATTGACTGTTAACCAGTTGACATTGTGAATTTTGAAAACACGATAATTTCAAGAGAAACATCAAAAGTGCTTTATTCAAAGTAATGTCCATCGCTAGCTACGCACTTCCCCATCTTTCAGGTGATCTGTGGACACCGGCCCAATAGAGCTTTTCTCGATTTGAGGCAGACCACTCAGAGACCCGATCTTCCACTTCTTCGTACGTTTTGAAGTGCTGCTCAGGAAGTGCGTGTGCCATCGATCAGAACAAGTGGCCATCTGAAGGAGGGAGGTCTGGTGGGCACAGCGGGTGGGTTAATACTTTCCAGGCAAGATCTTTTTTTTTTTTTTTTAAATCAAACTTTATTGTTCATATTATTACAAAGGTTCCTCATTTCTTCCTCCCTCCACCAGGTTCCCACCCCACCCTCTGCCCCCTCCCCATCCCCCATTGTCCTCATCCATAGGTGCAGTTTATGTTCAGTCTCTTCTTCCCTCAATTTCCCCAATAGTAAATCCCTTTTCAGATAGTAAATCAGTTACTTAGCGTTTTCTCATATCAATAATACCTCCACATGCCCAATGATACACTTCACACAAAAGACATTTCCCACTAGGTCAACCAGCCTCATCCAGGCCCCACCCAAGGCACTCACAGATCAACATCCCAGTCCTAAACTAACTCAACACATCCAGATCTAAGCCTTCATCACTTGATTCAGCAGACCCTCAAGTTCCCACGAAAGTTTCCAGCCATGTCTGAGAAGCAAGATCTTATAACGCGTCTTTCCTTCGGTAGCAGAAGGGGATTTGCTCTCTCAGGTTCTGAGAGCCGTGTGGCTGAGCTCTAGGGGGCGGGGAGCTTCCCCACCTTTCCTGGTTTCTCCACCTTCCACCCCACCCCAGGCAGGAGCCCACCACCCCCTCTCTCTGCTCTTTTATCTCTGCACTCTGTCTAAACCCCCACACACTGCTTCTCTGCCTCTCCCCTCCCCACTGTGTCTGAGGGGTGCTGGGGGAGATGAGGAGTCCCCCGGTGAGGCATGGGTCATCCTTCAGGGATGGCCACCTCTAGCCGATAATAAGCCCTCAGCCTGCTCCTGCCTCAGGTGTCCCTGCTCAGTATCATCCTTCCTCCCCTCCCACCCATCCCCCTTGTTCAGCAGGGCACCCTTGCCTTGGCCCAGCAAGAACCGATGGGAGAACCTCCCAGGCCTGGGGCCCAGCTGCCAGCCCCTACCCTGATTGTGCCACAATGACCTCCCCTCTCTTTGCAGGCTCCAGCCCAGAGCGGTCCCCCATTCCCAGCCCACCCGGCTCCCCAAGGACCCAGGAAAGCTGTGGCATTGCCCCCCTCACACCCTCGCAGTCTCCAGTAAGCCTGGCGTGGGGTCTGTGTGGTGGGTGGCCTGAGTGGTGTGGAGCTGGGGGTGGGGGTGGGGGTGCTCCAGAAAACAGGACCTGGCAGGGCCGGGGCAGGGCTGGGGTATCACTGTGCCTCCTGCCCCAGCACACCCAGTCCTGCTCTCTGCAGAAGGGTTAACCTGATGTGACCTTGCACTTTAGGGGGTAACGATTCTGTTGAGGTGAGCCCCAGTACTGACACCCAAACACCCGCTCCGGGATGACACCCAGGGGCTGCTGCAGCTCACCTGCCTGGGGCGGGCGTGTTTCTGAGCACATGGCTTTTTCAGGGTCTGCCCTGGCCCTCCCAGAGTTACCCACCCCCCTCCTGTCTAGGATAGCCCCACCTCAGGAAGGGGAGACGCGCTGCTAAAAAAATACATGGTTTGGAAATGACTAGCTTGAACTATCCAGGACATAACCCTCCCCCAAGCTCGCTGGGTCATGTCACCCCAGACAGCCTCAGCCAAATTATCGAGCCTGGGGGGCCCCTTTGTTCTCAGGGAGCCAGGCCTGGGAGAAGGCAGGGGCCACTCTGGGCCCGTGCACGGGGCCTCTCTCCTCTGCCACAGAGCCGACCGTCTGGTTGTGCCACTGTGGCCGCAAAGAGCAGCGGGGTCAAATACACACAGGTCCTGTGCTGTGAAACTGCCAGGAGCGGCGTAATTGCTCCCAGCTGGCCCCGGGCTGTGGGCTGGTGTGAGAGGGCGGTGGGCTAAGGCTGTGCAGACAGAAGGTGGGCAGAGAACCAGAAGCCAGGGAGGCAGGTGCTTGCGCTAACAGCTGCGCAGGGCTACCTGGGAGGCAGCTGGCATCTCCGGGGATCAGCCTGGGATGGGAGAGGAGCCCAGGCAGGCAGGCAGGCGGGAGGAGGTGAACCGGGGCTGGGCTGGGCCTCAGCCAGGAAAGAGGGGGGACTCCCATCTATGCCCAGCCTGGCTCTTGGGCTGCTCCCTAACTCCTAGGTCTTGACTTGCAGAAGCCCGAGGCCCGAGCCCTCCAGCAGGCCTCCTTCTCTGTGGTGGTGGCCATCGACTTCGGGACCACTTCCAGTGGCTATGCCTTCAGCTTCGCCAGCGACCCTGAGGCCATCCACATGATGAGGTGAGGGCCCCTGGGCTGTGAGACTGGGTGGGGGAAGAGGGGCTGGGCCTGGTCCCAGAAGTCCTGTCACTGAGGAGACATGGGGTACCCTCAGAGCTCCTGCCACCTCAAGTCTGGGCTCCCCTCTGGGGTAAAAGTCTGGAGGATGGCCCTTGGCCTGTGCCCCCCGCCTCCATTGGAGCAGTCCCCTGCCCTCTGCAGGAAACGTTGGGCTCTGGTTTTTTTTTTTGTTTGTTTGTTTTGTTTGTTTGTTTGTTTTTTAATATATTTTATTGATTTTTTTTACAGAGAGGAAGGGAGAGGGATAGAGAGCTAGAAATATCGATGAGAGAGAAACATCGACCAGCTGCCTCCTGCACACTCCCTACTGGGGATGTGCCCACAACCAAGGTACATGCCCTTGACCGGAATCGAACCTGGGACCTTTCAGTCCGCAGGCTGACGCTCTATCCACTGAGCCAAACCGGTTTTGGCTGGGCTCTGTTTTTAATTTTAAAACATTTTATTGAGATATAACAACATTCAGGAAAGTACACAAATATCTGGGCTTGCTTACAAACACAGACACACATATATGTATGAATATGTGTGTGTGTATGCCTGTTTCAAATAAAAGTGGGATATCACACAATTTGCCTTCTTTTTTTATTTTTTATTGATTTTAGAAAGAGAGGAAGGTACAGGGAGAGCATAACATTCGTTGACTGCCTCCTGCACGCCCCCTACTGGGATTGAACTTGAAACCAGGGCATGTGTTCTGACCAGAATTGAACTGGCCACCTTTCGGTGTACAGCATGATGCCCAACCAACTGAACTCACTGTTTTGTAGACATTTCATGTCAATACATAAAGCTACCACTTTCCTTTTAACAGTTGCATAGTATTGCATAGTATGGATGTTTCAAAATTTATCCATTCTTTTACTGATAGTTGTGTGTGTGTGTGTGTGTGTGTGTGTGTGTGTGTGTATGTATGTGTGTGTTTGGGGGAGGGGAGTCTCTCTAATTTTTCACTATTACAAAAAAATGCTGCAAGGAATCTCCTTCTTTGAAAACTTGTGCTGGGATTTCTATGGAGTAGATTCCTAGAGGCAGATTCCTAAGTCCAACATCTCAAATGAAAAACAAGGACATGAAGGATCAGAGGGCTAACCAAGTTGCACAAGTCACACAGTCGTTATGAAAGAGATGGTCAAAAAATCCATCCTGGTGTCGAGTTTATTTGAACAAAACATTTCTTTAAACACTCCCTCCAGACCTGCAGACCCTGATCCTAGAGTGTATCTTAGTGGGGCTGCTGCCAATAGGTAGAGTTTAGAAAACCCCAAAACTCCCAACCCAGACTGAAATGGGGGATCAGGAGCATCCGCAGGCCCCAGAGGCAGGTGGAAGGGTAGATGGAGAGGCCGATGGTAAGGTCACTACCCACAGATACAAGGACTTGGCCTTCAGGAGCCTGGGCTGTCGTTCCCCTTTCTCTGCTCCCCAATCTCCACATGAAGCCACAGAGGCTCTGAGCATTTACAGTCCCCTAGGGCCAGCACAGAGCAACGGAGGCTATGCTGTGCCCCACGTGGAGCCAAGGACACACGAAGGGACACTGCCTCTGTCCCGTGGAGGTGACAGCCACAGGAAGTCACTGGGGGACATACTGGCCTCCTCCCAAGCCTTCCCCACCCCTATCAGCCACCAAGTCCCATCGTTTCTGTCTCCTTACTATCTCTGGAGTACCATCCACTTCTCTGCATGGCCACTACCCTCTCTCAGCTGGACAGTTTTTATTCTCCATCCTCCCTCCCCTCCAGGCTGTTGCTACATGGACACCTGTGACCTTTCTGAAGGCAACTGTGATCATGCCTCTTCACTCCCCCACCTCACCCTCAGCAATAGAGAATTCCGACACGGCATTTGATGGTCTTCTTTAGCTGACCTTAACACTCCTGTCTTTTCTCCCACTGCATTTTGAGCTCACCTACAGCTAGTCCTCCTGTTCTTTCACATCTCTAAGCATCTGCCCATACTGTTCTTCTACCTGGATTCCCAGTACCTTCCCCAAAGGGCCTCAGGGGCAAGCAGGGCCTGGAGGAGTCAGGAAATCAGGGAAGATCGCCAGGTCAGAGAACTGGGCGGGGAGTTCTGGGTGGAGGTCTGCATGTGCCTGTGAATAAGGAGGTTTGGAATGTCATTCAGGTTTGGGGGGACCTGGCAGATGTCAGCTGGGGTCAGATAGGAATGTCGTGAATGCCTTAAAGGAGCTTGGCTGTGGAGGACGGCCCTGAGCGAGGCGAACTAGCTGGCTGGGAGAAGGCCTCTGCTAGGATGCTGGAGAGACACGGCAGGAAGCCAGACCCGGGCAGACGGACAGATGACAGCTGGCTGCTTCATGTTAAGGGTGCAGGGAGGCGAGGTCATTTGAGGTCAAATGACGAAGGGAGCCCAGAATGCCGGGTGCATCCCGTAGCCCCATGACTAAGGAGGATCCAAGAGCAGCATTCATGGAGATCTAACTGGATTCCAAGCTCCATCTTTATTTTCACAAGAACCCTAAGAGGCAGGTACTATTATTATCCCCACTTTACAGTAGGGAAGACGGAGACTGGGGGAAGGCTAAGTGGCCTGCCAAGGTCACACAGCTCACCCCAAAGCCATTATGCAACCCTCCCCGCCCCCCAAGTGAGGGTTGCTGCTGGCCCCACTGATAGCCCTGTCTCTACAGGAAGTGGGAGGGCGGGGACCCAGGCGTGGCGCACCAGAAGACCCCCACCTGCCTCCTGCTGACCCCGGAGGGCGCCTTTCACAGCTTTGGCTACACCGCCCGCGATTACTACCACGACCTGGACCCCGAGGAGGCTCGGGACTGGCTCTACTTCGAGAAGTTCAAGATGAAGATCCACAGCGCCACGGTGAGTCACATCCCGGCTCAGGACCAGTTCCAGCGGGGGAAGCGGGGTCAGGAGGGGAAGGAGCTGGCCTAATGGAGGGTGGACAAGGAGGGGGGAGGCGGGTGTGGTGGCTAAGAGGACGGAGCTTGAAAGAAAGGAAGGGCTGAAGGCGTGGCTGAGGGTGAGAATATGGGATATGGTTAGAGGAGAGGCGGGGCTAAAGAGACAGAAGGAAAGGGAGATTATAGAGCTAGTGGGACTATGCCCAAGAGGATAAACGCCAAGAAATGGGGTGAGTGAGGTTGTCAGGAAATGGGGCAGAACTACGGCCTTCTGCAGAGCGGCCCTGTGTCCCGCCAGGATCTCACCTTGAAGACCCAGCTGGAGGCGGTCAATGGAAAGAAAATGCCTGCCCTGGAGGTGTTCGCTCATGCCCTGCGCTTCTTCAAGGAGCATGCTCTCCAGGTGCGCTCGGCTCCACCCCCAGGCCCACCCTTTCCCCTCAGCCCATCCCTTGCCACGGTCGGAGGTCAGAGGTCATCTTTTCCACTCCCCTGCCTTCTTGTCTGGCATGTGCCATAGAGGTGTTGGTGGAGGGGTTAGTGTTAGGGGTTTTTCCGATTCTGCTGGGAAGCTCTTCCTGAGGCTTGATCAGTTCTTCCAGCTCCCACCGAGGGCTGAAGACACCCACTCGAGCCAGCCCCTCATCCCACTGCCCCTCATCCCACTGCCCCTCCTCCCACTGCCCCTCATCCCACTGCCCCTCATCCCACTGCCCCTCATCCCACTGCCCCTCCCGCTGCAGGAGCTGCGGGAGCAGTGCCCGTCGCTGCCCGAGAAGGACACTGTGCGCTGGGTGTTGACGGTGCCCGCCATCTGGAAACAGCCCGCCAAGCAGTTCATGCGGGAGGCTGCCTACCTGGTGAGGACGTGCAGGCGGAGCAGTGGCTGCTGCTCGGGAGATGCCCCAGAGAGGGCCCCACGCATCCCCTCCTGCGCCCGCCGCCCTGGGACCAGAAAGTCCTTGTGGGAAGACCTCCAGCTGTGACTTGCTGGGCATTTTGGCCCTTTGTTGCCGCTGGGGGAGGGAAGTGGCTGCAGGAACAGAGGACTGAGGGATGAGAGGCACTGCCCAGGCCAGCTTAGCCAGTGTCTTAAGTCGGGTTTCCTAAAAGCAGAGCCCAGGATGGGACTTGTGCATTGATCTATTGAAGGACACTCAGGAGAAAGGGGGTGGGGGAGTAGGACAGGAGAAAGAGCTGAGCAGAGATGTGGTCTCAACTGGAGTGTGACCTCAGCCCGACCCCATGGCGAGCTCTGGAGGGAAAACTGCACCCCCGTGTTGGCCATGGTGAGGCAAGGGGGCCAGTGTCTGTTACTGGTTACTGGGTAGAGGGGGACCCTCTCCACGCGAGGTGGCTCCCATTCGGCTGAGGGCAGCTCCAGAGAAGGGGGCGGCTGTGAGCCAACAGCAGCCACACTCCTGGGTGCGGCGCAGGGTACTGCGAACATCCGCTCCATCCAGCATCAGTGTTTTCAGGAACCCATCACCATCACAGCCCCAACCACTGCAAGCTCCTGAGCACAGGAAACTGAAGGGAGGGGGTCTGGACCAGTGTTCGCTGGTTTTCCTACCAGAAGAGATACCAAAGGTCTGGGGAGGATGGGTGGAGCTCGGGCCCCCCCTCTCTAGTAGAGATGGGAGGAGAAAATGGAACAGCCTTCCAGAGCAAGACTCATTTCTCGGTCCTGACCCTGGGGCTTTGGAGGACACCCTAGGACCTACAAAAGGGGTCTCGGGACTGCCTAAAGACCCTGTGGAGGATACCAGGGTCCCCAGTGGGCCAGGCATGCGCCCAGGTGCCTGTGCTTGTCACTGGAAGACGCTCACCCTAAGCCTGGTGGGCATCCCTCTGCAAAGACCAGAATGAAAGCAAGGCTGTGCCCAGCTAGAACAAGCACCTCCTCTTCCCCCTCCACCCCCCCCCCCGCCCCACACATAGTGCCCCTCCCCCGGCCAGTTTACCCACTCTGCTTCCTCCCACACCGTTCCCTGGCTGCCAGCTCAGGAAGGGCTGGCCCTGGCAGGAAGTCTGGAAACCTACCCCTCCCCACCCCACCCCCCTGTCAGAATCCAGGGAATCCCACAAAATCATAAAAGAATCCACAGGGATTCCCCCATCCTGATGCAGGAAGTATCGACTCCCAAATGGTTGTCTCCCCCAAATGGCCTGTCGTGGTGCCTGGAATTTCACTAGGCGTTTCCTTCCTCCCACATGAGAGTCCCCAGGAGCAGAGTCCTCCTGTGGCCGCTGTGCCACCAGCCTGGTGAAGGGGGAGGGCTCAGTGAGCCAAGGGGGGCCCCACCATCTCATTAGATCGATAGTCTGCCCATTACTTACTGTACCCCCCACTACCACTCCCCCTTCCCGTCCCCTCCAACACACACACACACACACACACACTATGCCAGAGTCTCCACTAACACCCTCGGCCAGTGCCCAGCTGGTCAGCCAGCCCTGCTCCTGTGAAGGGGACTTGCTGCAGCCCAGGCCACGTTGGGCAGCTCAGCGGGCCAAATGCCAAGGTGCCCTAGGTGTTCACTCTGTCCAGGGCCCCTTCCTGCTGGGTGACCCCATGATGTTCTTCACAGGGACTTGTGGGCAGCTCCAGACTTGTGCAGCATGGAGGGGCCTGACGGGCTAGCAAGGGGCGGGGGGAGGTGATGGGGAGGAGATGGGGGCGCCACAGGCGCCTGCCCTGGGTGCCGTCTTAGGTGTGACAGCCCATGGTGCTCCTGGCCCCGCCCACAACCTGTCTCCAGGCGGGCCTGGTGTCCAGAGACACTGCAGAGCAGCTGCTCATCGCGCTGGAGCCCGAGGCGGCCTCGGTGTACTGCCGCAAGCTGCGCCTGCACCAGCTCCTGGACCTGAGCTGCCGGGCCCCGGGCAGCGGGCGCCTGGGCGAGCGCCGCTCCATTGACTCCAGCTTCCGGCAAGGTGAGCCATCCCAGGGCCTCTGAGACCAGAGCTCAGCTTTGTCTGGCAGGAAGGAGACGTGTTCCCCCCCCCCCCCAATCTGGAGAAGCCCACGAGAGGGCAGAAATACCCCACCTGGAGTTCAGTTGGAATGAGGAGGCACAGCCATGACCCCGGGGAGCCCAATCCCAGGGCTAGGGTTTCCCCTTGCCCTAGGGGAGTCCTGTCAGGAGGGGGACTCAGCCTCGCCCGAGTTTGGGGTCTGGGGAGATAGCTAGCCTGGGGAGGGGTGTTTGGGTGCTGACAAAGGAGGAAGTCAGCCCCCTCTGAGCCAAGGGGAGGTCTTCAGGTGCGTTCCCCTAAACAACCCCTGTCCCCCCCCCCCTCCCCTCATGGCACATCAGCTGCTCCCCTCACCCCCCACACCAGCCCCAAGCTCCTGCTGCAGGACCAGCCACTGAGACAGCTATAATCAGCCTTGTTTATTGTAACAGGAGAGGTACAAGTCCTTAGCTCCCTGGGTCCCCCGAGACCTACCCAGCACACACACACACACACACACACACACACACACACACACACACACAGCTCCTTCAGACCCTCCCAGCCCTGATTCTCCACAGCCTGAGCCCTGGCCCTGCTGCCAGAAAGACTTCCCCGCAGCTGTCCCTGACAGCAGGAGATGATCCCATCAGGTTCCTTCAGCCCCTTAGGCGGCCAGCACCCCCCTCCCATCGTGGAGCAGGAGTGTCCGGAGCGCTGGCTGCTCCGGGAGCTCATGGAGGCCTTGGGGGGAGGATGAGGATTGAGTGTGGCAGCTGAGACACCTCCTTCTAACCTCCCTGTCCTGCTCCTCCTCCGCCCCCAGCCCGCGAGCAGCTGCGAAGGTCCCGCCACAGCCGCACATTCATGGTGGAGTCGGGGGTCGGAGAGCTGTGGGCAGAGTTGCAAGCAGGTGGGGAGATGGGGGGGGGGAGGGGTGTGAAGGTGGGACGGGATATGGCATGGGCCCCCCAGGCCCCCTATACACTGATAGCTGGAAGTTGGCTGCAGGAAGTTGGCTGCAGCTCCTAAACACCCCTCCCGCCATCTGCTATATCTAACCTGGCAGTCCCTTCACAGTCACCTGCACCCTCACCCCACTCACAGCCATGCCCCTAACGCAGGCTCCTTGCAGAGTTGCAGAGCCCTGGACCATACCCCTCCCCCGCACCCCACACATACACATACCTCATGCCCTTTACCCGGCGGCCTTAGCTCCAAGAACCTGAAGCCTCTCACACCTCCACATGGCCATCCCTGCAAGCGGGACTCCGGACCGGCTAAGAACAGGGCTGAAGGCTGGCTGGGAGGAGGCGCAGGGCTTGGGGTTCAAGGCAGGCCACGAGGGTGTGCTCGCGCTCCGCTGCAGGAGACCGCTACGTGGTGGCAGACTGCGGCGGCGGCACGGTGGACCTGACGGTGCACCAGCTGGAGCAGCCCCATGGCACCCTCAAGGAGCTCTACAAGGCGTCCGGTGAGTAGCCAGGCGGCACCCTCCATACCCAGCCGCCAGTGCCCTCTGGCCGCCACGCCTGCACTGGTGCCTTCATCCCCTGCCCCGCCCCAGGTGGCCCCTACGGCGCGGTGGGCGTGGACCTGGCCTTCGAGCAGCTGCTGGGTCGTATCTTCGGCGTGGACTTCATTGCCACCTTCAAAAGGCAGCGGCCCGCAGCCTGGGTCGATCTGACCATCGCCTTCGAAGCCCGCAAACGCACGGCAGGCCCTCACCGCGCGGGGGCGCTCAACATCTCCCTGCCCTTCTCCTTCATCGACTTCTACCGCAAGCAGCGCGGCCACAACGTGGAGACGGCGCTGCGCAGGAGCAGGTGGTCTTGGGGGCCCTGGGCTCGGATGGGGAAGGCCCCTAAAGGAGGCTTGTAGGCCGCAGCGGGCGGTGGGAGTCAGCCTACGGCACGGCTCGCACCGCTCTGCCAGCCCTACAGCAGGGGCAGCGCAGGAGTAGGCCAGCTAGACCAAGCGGCCCACCCGGAGCAAGGGAATCATGGGCCTCGGGAAAAGGACCAACGTCTACCTTCTCTCACCCTTTTCCCCCTACACACACACACACACACACACACACACACACACACACACACACGGAACTTCATGCCTGGAACAGAAGCGGGCCCGGGCGGAAGCCCCCGAGAGAGTGGGGATTGGGATAACACATAAGGGGCAGTCAGCGCCCAGGCACACAGGCCCGGGCCCTCAGTGGTACCCAGGAACCTGACCTATGGACCTGCACGCCCTTCACCTGCAGCGTGAACTTCGTGAAGTGGTCCTCCCAGGGGATGCTCAGGATGACTTGTGAGGCCATGAACGAGCTCTTCCAGCCCACCGTCAGAGGGATCATCCAACACATAGGTGAGCGCCTGAGTCTGGGCCCCCCATTCCCCCACATACACACCCTAACAGATGCGGGAATGACTGCCTGTTAGTGCCTGGAAACCCTCACTTCCATGCACTGGAATGAGACCCAGAACCATCTGGAACCCTGGAGGAGTCGGTGCGCTGGGAAATAAGAGCTAGGAGGGATTGTATGTAGGCTTACCAAGTTAAATAACCTCTGCGGCCTCAGTTTTCCAATTTATAAAATGGGGTGATAGTATCGGGTTCCCAAAACTGTTATCACGGGGATTTAAAGGAGCTGAAGTATCTAAAGAGCTCACAGTCTTGTGCGCAAAAGGCATTTATCAGGTGCATAGCCTCCCCTCAGGGCCTCCACGTGGGGGAGGGGTGTATTGGTGGGGAGGCAAAGCTATTTTAATGTTTTCTTCATCAAAATAGGGCAACCGTTTTATAGCTGAAATGGCTAGTTCCTGATTGCCAAGCAGGTGGGGAGGAGGTGCCCGTGACCTCGCAATGGCAGCCTCAGCAGCTCACACTGTCCCTCCCATCCCCTTCCCTCCTCCTCCCCCCCCCGCGCCCCCACCCCACCCCCACCCCGCAGAGGCGCTGCTGGCGCGGCCGGAGGTGCAGGGCGTGAAGCTGCTGTTCCTGGTGGGCGGCTTCGCCGAGTCGGCGGTGCTGCAGCACGCGGTGCAGGCGGCGCTGGGCCCCCGCGGGCTGCGCGTGGTGGTCCCGCACGACGTGGGCCTCACCATCCTCAAGGGCGCCGTGCTGTTCGGCCAGGCGCCCGGCGTGGTGCGGGTGCGCCGCTCGCCGCTCACCTACGGCGTGGGCGTGCTCAACCGCTTCGTGGACGGGCGCCACCCGCCCGACAAGCTGCTGGTGCGCGACGGCCGCCGCTGGTGCACCGACGTGTTCGAGCGCTTCGTGGCGGCCGAGCAGTCGGTGGCGCTGGGCGAGGAGGTGCGGCGCAGCTACTGCCCGGCGCGCCCGGGCCAGCGGCGCGTGCTCATCAACCTGTACTGCTGCGCCGCCGAGGACGCGCGCTTCATCACCGACCCCGGCGTGCGCAAGTGCGGCGCGCTCAACCTCGAGCTCGAACCCGCGCCGGCGGACGGCGGCCCGGACGCCGCCGGCGCGCCCCCCGGACGCCGCGAGATCCGCGCCGCCATGCAGTTTGGCGACACCGAAATTAAGGTCACCGCCGTGGACGTCAGCACCAACCGCTCGGTGCGAGCCTCCATTGACTTTCTTTCCAACTGAAGGCCGGGGGGGGGGGGGGGGGGGCGGTGCCAGCCGGGCTCCGTCCGGCCCCGCCCACCTTCGGTTTGGAGCGCGGGGGACCTGGTGAGGGCGTGCAAACATCCTGGTTCTGGTATCAGCGCTCCTTCGCCCGCCCTCCTGCCCGGGGAGATGAGGTGGCAGGAGGAGGGGTGGGGGAACATCCAGAGGCTCGGCTTTGGGATTAGGCCACGACTGACTGTAAGGCTGAAGGGTTCTGCCAAGGACTGGAGTCAAGGAGGCTTGATGGGCACGCCCATAGGGAACACGTGACTCCGAAGGCAGAATGCTCCAGATGACTGGGTCCGATGACTGGGGGTGGGGGGGGTGGGGGGGGTGGATGTAGTTGGGAGGGAGAGGCCAGGCAAGGCCCATAGCGGAGGAGCAGCAGGAGGAAGAGGGTTGTCTGGGACTGATTGGTGGGCACACAGGGAGGGGGCAGAGCAGCCCCGCACCACAGGAAAGTGACACAAGAGGGACAGGGGTGGTAGGGCCTTCCTGGGGTGGTGCTGACCACCCATGTATGACTGTTAATTGTAGGAAGGGCAGTAGCAGGCTAATGAGACGTGTACAGGGTGAAGGCACTTCTGAGGGAATGTGGGTAGCATGCTGGGAGTGGGCTTTCCTTCGGGACAGATGAAGGCCCCCCCCAGGGCAACCTGTGAATGACCCTCTTGAACCCTACCCCAGCCACAAAATGGGGGAGGGACATTAGGAGGTCAAAGGGGACACTTAGGACTGTCTCAGCTCTGCCAGACAACTCAATGTGCCAGTATGCCCGCCCAGACATGGAACAGTCTTACCTGCCCAAGGTGACAATAAAGCATTTGTGCTGGTACCTCACAAGAGGGAGCCCCAGTGATGTAGTAGAGGGGGCCTGAGTTCCAGAAAAAAAAGGGAAAAAGCTTTCAGCTGTGCATGGGGCTGGGAACTGATCAGGAAGAGGATGCTGGTGTCTCCTTGCCAAGTATCCCAAACAGAACTCCCCCATTCCACATGACCTCTCTCTGGCCTGAGCAGAATGGCCCGCTCCACCCAAACTCTCTTGGCAACTGTTCTCTTGCCTAAAGTGCCATCACTGTAGATACCGTGTTTCCCCGAAAATAAGACATCCTCCAAAAATAAGACCTAGCGCATGGAAAGGTAAGACATTCCTTGAAAATAAGACCTAGCGCAACTTTGGGAGAAAAAATTAATATAAGACACTGTCTTATTTTCAGGGAAACAGGGTAGCTCTTTGGGGACTAGGACTATAATACCACACAGTTCCCTTGCCTCCTAAAAGTAGGAGCTTAGCCAGAACTGTACCTTGGCCCATAGTCTAGGGATTGGGCGTTCTCAGGACCCTGAAGAACAAAAATCCCACCGGTCTCTGGTATTCACTGAAAGTTTTATTTCTTTAGGATTTCATCATCCCAACCATTGTTTAAAAATCAAGTCACACACACCTGGGTGCGGGAGCTGGGAACCGCACCTCCCTCCTACTCACCATAGACAGCAGTGGGAAAGAGGAGGGGGCAGGAGAGGTGGCTTACATGAGACAGCAGCAGCAGTAATGGAAATGATGACATTACAGAGCCAGCTCCCTCCTCTCCCCGGCCCTGGCTGGACCTCCTATGGCTTGCAAGTGGGGAGGGAGAGGCAAAACCCACCCTGGTCCTCCCCCTCCCCCGCCCCTCCTCAGATAGCCTCCTTGGGGGCTCAACCCGTTTCTTCCCGCAGGAGACCGAGGCACATGGAGAGGAGGAAGTGGGAAGAGGAAGACAAGGGAGGGGCAGGGAGGTGGCATGAATGAAGGCAGAGGTGAGATGTGGGCAAGGCCCCAGCTTGGAGGCCCCGAGACACACCACCTCCATGCCCATCCTAGGGACCGATGAGGAAGCCACACCATCATGCAGCATCTGGGGAGATGAGGTGGAGATTAAGGCTGAGGGGCCCCAAGGTGGGCCGGGGCGTGGGTCTCAGTCGAAGCCATGCCAGTCGCTGTGCTCCGAGTCGTATTCTAGCTCAGCGCCCACGCACTTGACACCATCCAGCAGCATGGGTGTGCCATGGTGCCGGTCTGCAAGACAGGCTTCAAGTCAGTAAGCCGGGCTGGACCGCTGGCCCCACCCACTCCAAGAGGACCCCTCCACCTTCTCTCTGGGCTCTATTGGGGGGGAGGGGAGGAGAAGAGGGGGAAAGAGGGATGGGGAGAGGTGGAGACACTCACCAAGGAGGTGGGGAACCCCAGCCATGGCAAAGATCCCTTTTTCAGACAGGAGGAAGGCAGAACCCCCTCCCCTAGCCAGATGCATGCCCTGCACTCTCACCCATGACACGGGCCTGCACCACCACTCGCACACAGGTGCCTGTGCCACCTTCACAGGCTAGCAGCATCTCCTCCTTGAGGACGCCTTCCTTGTGCGCTGTGTACTCACACTTGACGCTGTAACCTGTCCGGGCAATCAGCAACTCCATGGCCTCCAGCCCCTGCCCCCCCATCCTCATCCTCTCCCTCCCCCAAAAGAGCAAGGATGGTCCGGGACCCAGACCCGTGCCCCTAGGGCTGGGGCACGGGCCTCCGGAATTTCCCATTCTTCGATGAGCTCTACGTGCCTCAGGCCTGTAGGCCACCCCATTAAGGTTCCAAGGTCAGACTTAGGCTTCTAGGAGGAAGGCTTGCAGATTCCCCGAAAAGCAGGCAGGCAGGAAGAGGGAGTGATTGGAAAGGGGGTGGACAGGCCAGGACTTGAGCAGATTAGGTGGCAAGAGGCAAAGGCCTGAGGGAGTTGGCTCAATCCACTTAAGGGTAAGGTCATGAGGAGGTGGGGGAACATGTGACTGAAGCTGGGGCTTCGGCACATAGTGAAACTGACGCCCTCGCCTATGGAGAGGGTGGGGGCTGAAGCTAGCAGGGTAGGGAGAGGCAGCCCCCGGCCCAAAGCCCAGGCGGGAGCCATGAAGTTCCTAAGGCTCCAGCAGGTTTCTCTTGAGGGACCTGAGGGAGGAAGGCCTGAAGGTCCAGAGCCAGCTCCTCAGCGGCTCCCATCATCCCGCTGAGTGAACTATGAGGCAACGGGGCAGACACAGGCCAACGGTGTGAGTCCATGGGCTTCTGTCCCCGGAGTGAGGCCTGGGGCAAGGGACCTGCCAGGTTGCCATACTGTAAGCCCGTATAGAAGGCATCATGGCCCCAGCTGCTGCGTTGCCTGTTCCCCCCTTCATGGGGGGACAAGAGCATCCCATGGTCTCACTCCCATTCATTCCCAGGCCCTGCGGGAGGAAGGCTAGCCTCCAGCACCCTGAGCAGAGGACGCACCTTCTGGGACGGGTATGATGCTGAGGAGCTTGAGGTGCAGGCTGGGGACGGGTGCCTCTCGGACGTCCTTGCTCAGCCTTTGCACCGAGGGCAGGGTGAAGGTGATCTCATACCTGTGCAGGATCTTCAGGAAGCCAACCTGCAGCAGCAAGGGCGGAGGAAGGAAGCACCTTCACTGACAGCCTCCCCCAGGGCCCACCCACGTCATGCCATCTGTGATCCTGTGGGCCTTTGCACCTGTTTCCTTGGGGATCCTAGGGGATCAATCTGCCCCCTCCATTCCATCTGGTCCACACCCCAAGCCGGGTGACTCCAGGTCTTTCCCTGAGGACCTCACCCCACAGCTGGACCACACAATTGAGCATCTGTCTCGTGGGCCCCACAGCTCCTCAGCAGCCCATTTTACAGACAAGGAAATGGAAGCCGGGAAATGATAGGCTACAGGCCTCTTGGCCCCACTTACCATGAGTAGCCAGCCCAGAGCGAGGTACCAGCCACTGCCCAGAAGGAGCCATTCACTTGCCCCCTTCACTACTATCACCTGTCCAGAGCCAAAAGCCCTAGCTCAGGGACACTGGTCCTCCAGTCACTCATCTGGAGGCACAGAATGAAGGCTGGGATAGAATTAGAAACTGACACGAGACCAGCTGTGCCAGTCCAGAGCTGGCCCACAGCCCTGGCACCAGCCATTGAACCCAGGCTCCTGCCTGCCTGCTGGCATCATCTGAACATGGATGCCTGCCTGCCCACTCAAAGGCGCTCTGTATCCAACAGGCCCGACTCAGGGTCCAAGCAATTTCTGTTGTTCATCGAGTGCTTGGCAACCAATGCCCCCTGGGATAGATGCCATCCTTGCAAACTCCAGTTTGAAGGGTCACCAGCTCAGGGTGGCTGCTGAGCAGGTAGGCTGTCCGAGTGCCAGTCCAGGAGGCACAGAGGTGCATGCTGTACCCACGGCTCACATGCACACACACTCTTCTGTTCATGTGCTCGGGGGCCGGAGGGCCCTGTCCCTGGGGGCCAGTTGGGGTTGGTGGCATGGAACATTAGCCTTCAATGGGATCAGGCTGATGCCACTGTGTGATAGAGCCCATCCGTGTAGCTCCCGCACTCTGCAAGTGGAGGACACACTTCTCAAGAGAGCTTTCTGGCTGGAACTGCCAAGGATGGCCCTGTGATGAGCTGCACCACTTGCAGAATTTTCCAGGGGAAATACTCGGAGATGTGCAAAAAAAATACTCATCACTGCCCTCTTTACAACAGTGAGAAATAGAAACAGCAGTAACACAGGGTATAGGGAGCCAGCTAAATCAACAATGATACATATAGCCGAAACCGGTTTGGCTCAGTGGTAGAGCATCGGTCTGCGGACTGAAAGGTCCCAGGTTTGATTCCGGTCAAGGGCATGTATATTGGTTGCGGGCACATCCCCGGTGGGGGGTGTGCAAGAGGCAGCTGGTCAGTGTTTCTCTCTCATCGACGTTTCTAGCTCTCTATCTCTCTCCCTTCCTCTCTGTAAAGAATCAATAAAAAATATTTTTTTTTAAAAAGTGTTATACTGTGATACCAGCTTTTTGTTTATAGAAACAAAGCTATAAAAAAAAAAAAAACTAGAATGACACACATTAAAATATTTACCATTGTTATTTCTAGATTCTAAAATTGTGGGTACTTTTAAATTTATCATTTTCTCTATCTTCCAAAGTTTCTGTAATAGACATGATAGATTTGCAATGGGGAGTGGGGAAGAGGGAGAGATTTTTTCACCCAAGGATATTTTTCCCACTGATTTTCAGACAGAGTGAAAGGGGTGGGATGAAGAAAAATAGAAATGTTACTGGGAGAGAGACACATCAATTGGTTGTCTCCCATATATGTCCCAACTAGGGCAGTGGATCAAACCCTCTACCAAGGTACATGCCCTTGACTGGGAATCAAAACCTTGACCCAAACCAGCCAGGGCTATTTTTTAAAGTTTTATTTCATTCTGTTTATTCCCTTGGGGAAGTTATCCTAGGAGAAAGAACAAGGATTGGGCAGAGATGGGTATGAATCTGGGCCCCTCCTCAGGGTGGACTCGATGGACCAGATGCCACCCACCCCCGGGCATTCTGCTTAACTTTGGAGCCCTGGTTAATTGTCCAACCTGAGGGCCTCACTCTGTTTCCCTCAATCCTTTCCCTTCCGAGACTTTCTCCTGCCCTTCCCAAGTGGATGTGGGATCCATCAGTGTCCCATAGTTGGAGAAGCCACACTGGAGGACACGTGACGTGTGACCAATAGGAGGTGCGCTCCAAAGAGCAGAAAACATGGGGCTGAATTAGCCAGCGGTTTGGCAAAAAAGGAAAATAAAGTCATGCCTTGTTATTAGCATAATTAATCAGTCTTGCAACTGTGTAACATACATACATTCTTCCATTTTATTCTCAACAAACCCTATGGGATGTGAACTGTCTTCATTTCAGAGAACAGGAAGCTGAGGCGAACTGCCCAAGGTCACAGAGCCTGACTAGCAGGCCTGGACCTGAACGCAGCCTGTGACACCACAGCCTGGACGCCCACCTTCCATTGCTATTGTTAGGACGGTGATAACGGCTCCACTCCACTCACCTCATTCAAGGTGACATTCTAAATGCATCCATCTCATTGCAATCTCATCACCTCCCACTTCACAGATGGGGAAACCGAGGCCCAGGGAGGGATAAAGACATGCCTATGGAGGCAGCTTAGAGGATGTGAAACTGACAGGCCCAGGCAGCCAAGCAGGGCTGAGGAGGAGGTGGAGGAAGTAAGACTGATGTAGGGGAAGCTGTGCACATACCTTAACCAGAAAGCTGCTGTCACTCTCCTGGGTGACCATGACCACCGAGTCATGCAGCTTCTCATCAAAGTGGACGTGGCTCTGGGAGCCCTCGGCATCATGGCCGGCTGCAAAGCGGATACTCCGGACTCTGGGCTTGTTGCCTAGGACGAGAGCGGGTGACGGCTCCAGGGACTGCGGGCTTCCTCTGCCCCCAGGAAATGACTTCCTCCTTGTTGCTCCCCGAGGCCCTGCAAGTGCCCTTCACCCAGCACTCGCTGGCTGACCTCCTTTCAAGGCTAGGCCACATCCTACCAGACTCTGGGGATCATGAGGCTTGCGGCCCAGTCCTCCCACAAAAAATACCCAAAGAATGGGTGTCGGGAATTGGCTAACATCACACCTCCCTCAGAGGGAATAAGGCTGACACTGGAGACAAGAGGAGACCTTCCAGACTCTCACCTAACCCTGGGTTCTCCTCTGCAGGGCCACGCCCCCCATCTCTGGGACCTTCTCTTCCAGGTATGCCTGTGCCTGAGGTCCCTGCCTGCTCCTCCTGATGACCCCAACCTGGTCCAGGTGAGGGGTGAGGACAGGAACAGGCTCCTTGGGACCTGTCTGGGAGTGGGAGAAACAAAGGGGGGGCAAACCCCACACTGAGCCCACCAATGGGAGAGGCTGCACTGCCCCTAACTCATCACGGATCACTGGCAGGAAAGATGGGAGAACCCAGGGGAGCCTCCAGGACCTTACCCAGAGACACCCTCTTCTGTGTAACCCTTCCCAAGACCCTCAGCTGTCCCCAGGGGGAGCAGGTTCTCCAAAGCCAGGAGCAGGGTTGAGACAGGCAGATAGCAGGAGCCAATCCTGGGGGAGGTCTGTCTTACCAAGAGCATGACCCCAGTCCTCTATGGCCCCCACAGTCCCAAGGCCTCCCAAGAGCCCTGCTCAGAGTCCTTGTGGCACAGGGCCTGGCCTAGCCCTGGCCTGGGCTCTTGGAGGAGCCAGCCTGGCACGTCCACGTTCTTTGCTAAGACCCCAGACCTGACCCTTAACTCTCACCAGCCTCCCTTGCCTAAAACCCTCCAGGAGCCCTTCTGACTCTGGATGAAACCAAAATTCCTTTCTGTGGCTCTACCCACCTCGCCAAGCTCAGTGCTCACCCCAGCCCCGCATGTCCCCCTAACCCCCACAGTGCAGCAAGAGGCTGGAACACAGGGACGAGGGCACAGACCAGCACACCAAGGGGTCCCCACATTCCCTGCTAGGACTTGGTGTACCCTAGGACCTGGCATAAACACTGATGCAATTACTGATGTAATTTGTGCTCACATTCAGACACCCCCTCCACACACACACAGCCCTGCAGGCCCCCCTCACCAGCACCCTCTGGAAGACCCTGCAAACCCCCCCAGGCCAGGAAGGCACTCACCCTTGTTGGCTGCAGCCATGGATGCCCTCCCTACCACGAGGGAGACACGCAGCTCCTGGACCCTGCCGCTTAAGCTCAGCAGCCTCCCATGCTCCAAGGACACCAGCAGGAGCCTGGAGGGAGGGAGGGGGAGAAGGCATGGATCAGGGCAGCCCATGGCCTGAGAACAGAGACCTACCTTTAGGAAGGACCCAAACCCCTGCTGTTCTTAGCAGCCCAAGTGGTGCCTGCACGCTCTAGTACAAGGAGTTCTGCCCCCCAACTCCTCTCCCCACACGCCACACTCACCAAGAGCCCTCACCCCGCCTGACACCCTATTGACCCAGGGCCCAGCTGGCAGGCACGGCGCTGCAGCTTCTGGATGCCAAAGCGCCAGCACAGGACGCGTGTGCCCAGGCCGCCTGAGGCTGACAGGAAGGGCAGTCTGAAAAGGAAGGGACTTCTTTGGCTCTTTCCAGGAGCCAGTTCTAGAGCTGGTGACACCAAGGGGGTATCTTCCTATAGCCAGAGTCCACAGTGTTCAGGTCATATACCCAATAAAGGTCAGAGTCAACAGTATGCTTAGATGGGAACAAGATTGGAGGTTTACATAAGACGTGTCCTTGGAGCTTTTCCTGCTGGTGACTGACCAGGGCCATATACAGAACAGACGCCTACAAAATGGACTGCCCTACCCAGCTCAGCTTCCCAAAAGCAGGCTGTAAGGCAGGGTCAGCGGAGGTGCCCAGGAAGCCTGTGTGCGCTGAGCTGGGATCATCTCAGCATCAAAACGAATAATGACTGCTAGTGTGGCCCAATGGTTGGGCAATCCATGACTCAGAAAGTCACAGTTCAATTCCCAGTCAGAGCACATGTTGGGGTTTTGGGCTCAATCCCCAGTAGGTGTTGTGCAGGAGGCAGCCGATCGATGATTCTTATCATTAATGTTTCTATTCCTTTCTTCCTCTCCCTTCCTCTCGCTGAAATCAATAAAAACATTTTTTTTTAAAGAATAATGAGTGCAACTGAAGGAAACAGATGGAATACATAAAACTGGAGCAGTCACAGAGATTAGGAACAAAAGAAGAGAGAAAGCCAAACAAACAAACCCAAACCCTCATTTGTCACCACTGACAGTGACAATGCCCTAACTCTTTACTCTGAAAATTGGCAATAACGAGAAATAATTCAGCCTGTCTCCTGGCCTTTCCCGTAATGAAACTGCCCTGGTGGTTAAAAGAAAGCCTTTTTTACAGAAGAATTCTCGCTATTAAATAACAAAGAAATGACCAAGTAATTCTGCAACCCCCAACTTGTGCTGGAGGCAGTGAGTCAGTGGATGGTAAACCAGGAGGAAAAAGGTTGCTGAAGTAGATGCTTACAGATGCTCACGTGTCACCAACAGATGACCTAGAGTTCTTAAGGGGAATGACACAAGTTTGCAATGAGAAATGTGACATCAGCCAGTCATGCACCAGTAAATCGCCCCTCACCCACATTGGAACCTGACCACTGATACCTCCTGATGTGACAAGGACACAGCACCTGCCCAAAACGTCTACCTTGCACCTAATCAAACCCCAAGCTCCGACTTCCGGCCTAAGGAAAACACACAGGTTAGTGGAACAAATTAAATGACTCCACAAGAAAGCAATGAGACACACCCAGAAAACAGGATAGTCTTTAGAACAACTGATCTGTTTTGCTATTTTTATCAAACTGCAAGAAAAATAAAGATAAGTTTTTTAGATAGGGGACGGGCAAAAAACAGACTACAGAGCTGCTGCCTGTTTTGTTTTGATTGATTTTAAGATAAGGAGAGGGGGAAGGGGAGAGAGAAACATCAATGAGAGAAACACCAATCCACTGCCTCCCGCAGGTGCCAACCACCCTGCCCACCCAGCCCGAGGATCAAACCCACCACCTGGGTGTGTCCTGACCAGAATCGAACAGGCACCTTTCAGTGTACGGGAGGAAGCTCCAGCCAACCAGCCAGCGCCACTGCCTGTTTTTTGTCAAGTTTTATGGGAACACAACCACACTCATTTATTTACATATGGTCTAAAACTGCTTTTGCAATTAAAAAAAGAAGAAAAAAACAAAAATCAAAAACTAGTTTGAGTAGCTGCCACAGAGACCACATAGCTTGCAAAGACTAAATTATTTACTATCTGGCCCTTCACAGAAAAAGTCTGCCAACTGCTGTTCTAGATTAGCACACAAAGAGACCAAGAAGGCAGGGTACTCTATGGGACAAATGACCTGGTTTTTTCCACTACACCAGCTGTAAGAAGGAAAATAGATGGGGTAGGGGGTTTCTAACTACCCATAAAAAATACATCTGGGGGATAATTAGAAAGAATGAATGGGACTGGTTCTTAGACAACATTAGGAAATAAGAGCTTATTTTATTTGGTGAGATAATGAAATTGTATTCTGTAGAGAAGTATGTCCTATTTTTCAGAGATACACACTGAAGTATTTGGGAGATGGGTGACCCACGAATGATCTCAGCTACTCCAGGGAATGAGGAAGGGAAACAAACCACAGATTGGTGGCCTCACAGTGAGGGGCTGGGCCAGTGGAGGGTGTGACCTGGAGGTCTTTTTATTTTTTTATTTTTTAAATATATTTTATTGATTTTTTACAGAGAGGAAAGGAGAGGGATAGAGAGTTAGAAACATTGAGGAGAGAGAATCATCGATCAGCTGCCTCCTGCACACCTCCTACTGGGGATGTGCCCAAAACCCAGGTACCTGCCCTTGACTGGAATCGAACCCGGGACCTTTCAGTCTGCAGGCTGATGCTCTATCCATTGAATCAAACCTGGAGGTCTTACAGGTACTGAGCTGCCTGGGCACAGGCCTCACCTCCCTTTCCACTTCCCAGTTCAGGAAGTCCACCCAGGCTCAACCCTGCCTCCTGGGCCCAGTGATCAACTTGGGTGCCAGGAACTCCTGATTGAAGGAGGCTGCAAGGAAAGGCAAGGCGTGGGTCTCAGGAATGCAGGTGTCACCACAGCAGGTAGAGCCCAGGCCAGCACACATCCCCATCCCCTTGGAGGCTAATTCCCAGGCCCCTCCCAAAGTGCAAGCAGGGTTACTATGCCCCCACTCATCACCTCTGGCCTGGGCTGCTCTGGGTCTGCTTATCCCCAGGGATTCTGGCTCCAGGAGAGAAGCCTACCCCACCCCATCCACACCAGCCAGCCTCTGAAGCTATGGACTCAGAGTATGTGAAAAATGGCCATGAGTAAGGGGTACCAGACCACCTGCCCACGTTTCAAAGAGGCTGCTCCAGCCAGCCCTCTGCAGCCATGGGGGAATGACTGTCCAATGCCCTCAAGACCCCTGTGTCTCCCAAGATACTTCCTGGAGGCCCTGGTGGAACTCTTAGGCAGTGGCGGATCAGCAAAGGCTCCTGGGACTCTTCACAAAAACACTCTGACCCAGTACTTGCAGGGCCCCCTCCCTGTCTTCCCCCACAATGCACTGCATGTTGCCTGCCCGGAACAGTCCTGTCCCGTTGGCCTGGATCTCGGCCCCAGCGTATCTTTCTTAAGGTAGCACAACACCACACCTCTGCCCATCCCAGCATGGGCCTGAAACACCTTTAAAAGGGTCCCCTTCTCGTTTACGGGATCACTTAATATCTACGTTCCCTACCTTTCAAGGGCAGCAGCTGTCTTTGCCAAACCCTGTCTTGGCCAAACTCTCCCAGCACCTGGCAGGGAGAACCTGCGTTCACTTCATATTTTGTTAAATGAATGAATGACCAAACTAAGTGGAGTCCAAGTCCAGGCCTTGGCGGGCCCTCTTGGCAACTCTTACCCAATGCTCTCAGGAAGAGGAAAGCCCTACCACACTCTCTTAGCCAACCTCTGCCCTGGAGGGCACACCCTCCCCCATCTCAGACTATAGCCTCCCACTAGGCATTCTTCTAGCCTTGCCACCATCAACTGGTGATCAACCCTTTCCATCCTTGACATGGAAAGCCCACAAGGTAGGGCCCGCATAAAGCCAGAGAGCAGGACCTGCACCTCCTGCACTGACCAGCAGAGGGGGAGGCGAGTGACTTCAGGGGCCCAGAGCCAGGAAGAAGCAAGCCTCCTGCTGTCCCCCGGAAGCCAGGCTCCTCACACAATTCCTTCTCAGAAGCAGGAGGAGGTGTGCAGCCTCCTCCTGGTGCACGGTGTCAACAGGGAACTGTGAGGCCCCTTCCTGTGCCAGCCAAGTCCTGAGTATGCCCCAAGCTGCACAGCCTTCTGGAGCCAGCAAGAGCATGGGCGGGGGGGGGGGGGGGGGGGGGGGGGGGGGGGCATGGTTCCCGCCCAGCAATCCTGGTCCGGATTCAGGCTGCCCAGGCAAGTTACTTCACATCTCTGTGCCTCAGTTTCCTCATCTGTAACCTCTTCCTCAGAGGGTTTGGTGCAGCTGGTATCTGAAGCTCTGACAAGGCTCCCCAGTTCACCCCCACCTTTGCAAAAGCAAACCCCCAAAGGCCTGCTTTTTGAGGCAAAGGCAATTTCAGGGCAGCACTGTGGAGATGACTTCAGGCAATCCTCGAACAGCCAGGAATGACCCTCAGGGTGGGCCCCCTGGGACTTCAGCCTTCTCAGAATACAGCTCATGGGTGGAGGGACCTCCCTCCCCTTTTCCACCTCCATCCTGTTGTCCTCCTCCTCCACTCTCAGGCCAGGCAAGTCCCAAAGGATTGACAGAGAACAGACTGCTGGGAGCTTGCTGTCCCCAAAACCACAGGAACTCAGAAGGCAGATGTGAAATAGCCCCAGCCCAGCAAAAAAACCTGACACCTCTCCCTAGATGGGCTATTAACACGTCAGGGGTGGTACCATGGACAAGCCACAGGATGGGGAGGGCTGGAAAGCTAGAACAAGGACCTTAAGGTTTTTTTTGGCTCTCAGTTCCTCTCAGGGAAATTGGGGGGGGAACTTCTTTCTGGAGGACAGAATGCTGCCAGCTCAGGTCCCTCACTTTATAGAGAATTGCTGTTTCAAGGTTACCCTCCCCAGGGCAGGGC